GATCCACCCGCCTCGGCCTCCCAAAGTGCTGGGATTACAGGCTTGAGCCACCGCGCCCGGCCCATTTTTGTATTTTTAGTAGAGACAAGGTTTCACCTTGTTGGTCGGGCTGGTCTTGAATTCCTGACCCCAGGTGATCCGGCCGCCTTGTCCTCCCAAAGTGCTGGAATTACAGGAATGAGCCACCACGCCTGGCTAGACTTCCTTTTTAATTAAACTTTTAATTGCAGTATAACACATGTACAGACATGTGCACAAAAAGTAAGCATACATCTTGCTGAATTTTCACAAAATGAACATACTTATGTAACCAGCATGTAGATCAAGAAACAAAACACTGCTAGCACTACAGATGCTCTCTTCCTGCTCCTTCCCAGTCATTTCCCCCACCAAGAATACCACCATCCTTTTCCCTTTTTCTTTTTTAGCAGCTACATCCTTCTAGGAATGACTTCTAACACTGTTGATTTTATCTGTTTTGAACTTTATGTAAACTGAATCATATAGCATGTATTCTTTTATGTTAGGCTTCTTTCTCTCAATATTTATGACTGAGATTCATTTATGTTATATGTAGCTGTGGAGCATTCCTTTTAACTGCTATGTGATATTCCATTGTATGAGTCTACCACAATTTATTTATCCCACTCTTAGGGCCTAATACAAATAGTCCTGCCCTGAATATTTTAGTACATATTTTTTGATGATTCATGTCAGATACATACCTAGGAGTGGAATTGCTGGATCACAGAGTAAGCATATGCTCAACTTTAGTAGACAGTACCATAGAGTTTTCCAATGGGGTTATACCAGTTGACAACCAGTGTGTGGGAGTCCTGATTGCTTCGTATCCTTCCCAGCATCTGGCATTGTCTGGTGCTTGTGTAGTGGTAGCTCATCGTAGTTTCACTTTGCATGTCTCTGATGATTGAGCACCTTTTCATACATTTTCCACTGTTGCCTTTCTATCCTTTTGGTTATTGCACCATATTATGATATTATTTATTCCAGACCAAAAGAAGCAAAACAAAACAGGGATGGTGATATGGCTCCTCTCCACCAAGCAAGGGGGAGAGCAAGACTATGTGTGTGCGTGTGTGTGAGAGAGGGAGAAAGAGAGCTGTCCCTAAAGTTCTTCATACCACTGATTCTCACAGTTTCACTGTATGCTCCAAGGTTCCTCTTCCCACTTCTGATGATGAGCAGTATTATGTTTGGGACCCCACTTTAGAAAAGCAGAAGGAGGAGGGGCTGGGCACAGTGGCTCACGCCTGTAATCACAGCACTTTGGGAGGCTGAGGCAGGCGGATCACAAGGTCAGGAGTTTGAGACCAGCCTGGCCAACATGGTGAAACCCCGTCTCTACTAAAAATACAAAAATTAGCCAGGTGTG